AAAGGCAGCACAGCAGCTCAGTGGTTAGCACTGCTGCCTCACAGTGCCAGGGATCCAGGTTTGATTCCAACCTTAGGTGACAGACTGTGTGGCGTCTGCACAAACTCCCCAAATCGGAGTGGGTTTCCTCCCACAGTCTTTAGAATTCAGTTTAGATGGATTGGCCATGCAAATATTGCTGTAGTGTCCAGTGATGTGCAGGCGAGGAGAATTCGCCCCAGGGAATGCAGGGTTGCAGGTTTACAGGGGTGGGGGTGGGTGTGGTCCTCTTTGGAGGGTCAGTACGAACTCAATGGGCCCAAACGGCCTGCTTCCACATTGTAGGGACTCTATGAATTCTAGGAAAAGAACTTGGAGGGCTGAGAACGAATATATTAGTCAGTGCCACCAGTGACGAAATTTGAATGACAGCAGACTCAGCAACACTAGGCAAGAGAAGAAAGAATGCCAAGCGTGGAGACATTTCACTACTGAATATGCCGCAGTTGAGAAATCACGACTCTGCACGAAAACACAATTCATTCGGGTGCATTATGGGCGAGAGTTGAACCTACACAAATACATTTAAAGTTTGTTCTCAGCTTAGCCTTCAGAACATTACATCAAATGAACAAAATTAACTTGAGCAAAAGCTCAGCTTTCAACATTTTCAATCCACTTAAGTATATACTGCAGTCAAAATCAAAGTTTCTGAAGTTCTAATTATCTCAAGACAAGAACACCCCCTAAACTTTGAAGGTAACTGGAATGTGCGTAATTCCTTTTGAACACCATTGTGCTCCAATTTTTTAAAAAGTAAACAGCAGAATTTTATGACAATGATCCCACCAATTACCTTCAGTGCTATTTATAAAATGTAATTTCCATCAAAATACAACAACTAATCTATCAAATCTGCAGCTTGCTTCAAGAGTGAACACACTACAGTATTCAAGAAATACTCAAAGATAGATTTCCCTTTGCCCTTCAAAGAGAAGATGAGTCAGGGTTGGTAAACGTGTTGTATTCATCCTTTTTTGATCATTTTGGACAGGAAATGGAAAAAGTATGTAGGAAGGTAGAACACTGTAACAATTCTAAACTGTATAATTATATTTAGCTAAGTGGGTTAACTAAAGAATAAACAATTCCAATTATGAACAATTTTTCAAACCCTGTCAGATGTGCGTACAGATGATGGGGATAATGAGTAAAATTAAACATTGCTGAGAGACCCTTTCCCATCGTAATTATTTAATTTAAATCAGCTAGGTCCACTCATGAATGGTCACTCATATAACAAAAAAAAAGCACATAACTGATACCCAAATAATCATATCATGGTATTTTCAGGTTTAAACAGAATACTGAAAATTCTAAGGCAGGATTGCAAGTTGGAACAATTCACCCACAGCTTAAAAGCAAATGCTGTAATTGCAGGCACATATCAATTACAGATATTCTATAAGTAATATGGAAATAAAAACAAAAATATTGCTCCAAGTGTGGCATTGAGAATAACGATTGGGGAAACGATTACCGCAAAATTCAACCACGTTAACGTCCAACTGGGATCCTTTTGTAACACCATTAAATTGATGAAACACAGATTTCCGTTCATATGAGAGTAAACCATCCACGTGTAAGCAGACGCTAATTTCACTTCTCTCTATCCACACCACCTCCTTTTAAAAGATTCAGTTAAGCAATGGAAGTAACATGCACAAAATCTATTGCAATGTCTGAGCAAACTAGGAAAAATTAGACATCTAGAGTAACAACTAACTTTTTTTCATGTTTTTGAAATTGTGTGAGAGAAAGACTGGAAATGTAGTTATATTTTAAGCAATATGTTTTATCTGTAGACCTACACCAACTGCCCAAGCATGAAACCATCCAGCCTGTTTATAGCCAGAAGGCAATTAGCAATCTCTTTTATTCCATATAGAAACACTTCATAATATTGATCAAAACATTTGGCATCGCAAGCACCCGCAATGCTATCTGCACATCATGTACAATGCTTACTGTTACTTCAGTAACAATTCCCCATGAAACTACAAACCATCAGTTTGGGAATAATGCCATTGCTGCAGAAATCCAAGCACTACCTAGTTAAAAAATAAGTACAGGCTAGTACTAAACAAAAATAGGAAAATTTAAATGCACAAGTTTATCCAGATTTCTGGTTGGCCTCATTTCACCCACCAATTTCAATGTTATCATATTACACTGACGGAGTATGGTAAGTTCCATCAATATTAGGGAAGTGACATCTGAAACAATAAAAACAGCTCTAGGTCATGTAGTCCAAAATGACTGAAAAACTGCTTACAAGTGTGCAACTACTAATGCTGTAACTGTGTTCTGTAACACCGAGGAAAACAGTCAACAGATGAGATAACAATACTGGGTAAATAGTCAGCCTGGACCATTTTAATAATCCAGTGAACATCTGGACCTTGCCACATCGATTTATTTCAATTCACATGCCCACATCAAAGTGACTGCACCAAATATATTTTTAAACTCGAGGAATATGCTACCTGATATTCCTTAGGTAACCTTCACTCTACTCACCCCAATATGATAAAGACCATGTCACAATTAAGACACTGAATGTGTTTGCATACCAGCTAAAAATAACATTTCCTGCAGGTCACCTAATTTAGAAGGAACTGATTTTATAGCAATATTCTTCCAAAAACTTGAGTTCATTTTCAACAATTTGCCTATGATAGATGGTGAAATCATCAAGTGCTGATTCATGAATGCTTCTACTCAGAAATAATTTCTAGAATGGGAAGGTACATACAGCTGGCAAAAACTGCACAAAAGTACAATAATGTTACTTTGGCTGCCCCACCACCCACAGTCATCGCAGAAATTCTCAAAACATAAACTTATTCTCAGGTGGAAATACAAGTCAATTACAGAAATGATCATACAATCCAACGTAAAAATGGGCTCACAAGGACAGATGAAAGTTTTTGGAAAGAATGGATCGAGTGATCTGGTGGGAAGTTAGGTAGGTAGGATCTTCTTAAATTGACTGTTGGGCCAAACAAGCTTTGCAAGCTTCTAAAATACATTTTATTTACACATGTTAACACAGTGGTGCACTGGCACAAACACTATTACAATAGCATCATAAAAAGTGACGCAGATATCCATGTTCCAACTGTATCCTTCATTCCAGTACAGAATCTTGGCCTTTATTCACTATATACATGAGTAAATAGTTTGGCATATTCTTTGTTTAAGAACACAAGTGACACTGCTTTTGGAATGTTGGAAAATCAAATGAGAACCTGCTTGCCAATTATGTAATTGCTACGCTAAATCAGGTCCTGCAGCACTGGATATCAAGTTAGGATCAAATGTATTCTTCAAGTGAAGAGGGATATTTGGACATGGGAGCATAGATGTGATTCAAGTCCCATTTGATATACTGATTTTCTCTCTTCCCATTATAAATTCCATCTCAAATATGAAAACAGGAAATGCCTACAATAAACTTAGCACAATGCAATTACAACTTCTTTCCAGTGGTGGAGCTCTAACACCTTCACTGGTAGACAGCATGTAATTTCAACCTGATGAGTTTTTAAAAGATTAGCATGACAAATCTGGACACAAGTATAATGGAAAGAGTCGATAGAAATTACACACAATATTTTTGCTGTATTAAGATATATTCAGTAAGTCACAATTACAGACTTCAAGCAACAGTATGTACAATAACTGAAACACACTGTATCAAAGATTACAGAAGAAATAACTTGCTCTCAATATAACTGTGGAGACTTAAAACAGACAAGTCTACACAAAACCAAACAAATGGAGTACAAACTCAATTTATGAATAATCCCCCAGCAGTTTGTTTTGAGTTGTTGACTTTCACTCATTTAAACTGTTAAGTTTCTTCCTCAGCATTTTCCAGAAGTCTGTATTCATACCTTCCCCTTAGGTTTTCTTGCACTTTGCTATCCATTCCTGCATCTCATTTTGACCACTGTCTGCAAACCAAGTTCATTCTTTTACTGAACCTCCTGTGTTAACCAGTTACGCAGAAGTTGGTCCAGTAGGGAACTTGTCATAATTGATCCTGATCTACTCCAGAAAGCAAGTGGAGGTAAAGAGGTAAATTGAGAAATCAATTAGGAGCCTGGTAATCTGATCAGATGTCAATAAAAATTAAAATAGAACTTCACAGAAAAACCATCAGCAATAAAGTTCCTGGCAAGAAAATACATTCAAATCACAAGTACTTCTACTTTCCCAAAGAAAGTGCACCATTTTGATAGCGATTTGCCAAGTCCAAAAACTTGTGTAGTATACAATGCTTCATTTGGAGTAGGAAGGTCTCACATAAAATTATTCCAGTACATACTTATTAATGTCACTGAATATTCAATACAGTGGCACTACACTACTGCTGAATGCTGCATTTGTCAGCTTGAGAAACTGCACTAAGTCCCTAAAAACAGTTACTGTGCAATACAGAACTAAGTGGAGTGTGTAAAAAATCCAAGTTATTAGTTTATATAGCATTCAGCATAATAAACACATTGTAGAATTTAGCATACTTCAACTTGATTACAAAATAGCAAAGTCAAAAATATTCTACGATTTCATGCTCTCAGGACTTACTGTGGTACTCTGCATTGTTGTGTCAAGGACCTAACTGACAAGTTGACATGGAGGAAAAGAAACTACCACACAAACCAAATCACCAAATGGAAAAATATGTACAATTGATCAGCACAATTTATATATTTCAGTTAAAGGGGGCACCCAAAGAAGCTCTACACCACATGTATAAGGAGTAAGAATGTCATGAGAATGAAACCAAAGGGTGTACCCAAATTCAACACACGTTTACAATCTCTCAAGACCCCACACTAGCATGCCAAAGATTAGGAGAAAACATGCTTAAAATTTCAAATTCATGGTTCCCTCATCTGACGCTTACTGTGCTAGGCTGGCATTACATTTGTAAGGATATTTTAATACATTACCATTCCCATATTGTTTTCTGGCATTTGGCTGCCCAGGTTCCCAGGTGGCCCTTGTGGAGGTGGTGCGCTGGTATTCACGGTTGGCCTGTTCATTCCCATAAGTGGCTGAGGTACTTGGTTTGCAGAGGCTGATAAGTACAACATTTCAAAATATTGACTAATGGTTATCTCACATTTGCTGTTCATCCACTTAAGTACTTACCCTCCCAAAACAAACAACTGTTCCATCAACTCAAGCAAAAAAATTGATTCCCATTCCTAACAGAAATTTTACATAACTTGCAATTTCAAACAAAATACAACTGTCTAAGCCTGATCTTACATATTGCATTTTTCTTTTTTTCAGGGAGAGGTTTTCTCCTAAACACAATACAATCACAGACATATATTCTGGATGTTGCCCACAAAGTAAATAGCAAACATTATGCCAACAGTAACATTAATAAAATCATTACAATTTGAAATTGCATACCTGCTTTAAGATTTGTAAAATCAGCTGCAGTTAGACCCACTGAAATGAATAGAGACAGGAAATGATAAGTTTCATGAAAATTCGAAGGAATGCCTTGTCCAACAAACTGTCAAAAATCCCTTCAGTGCAGATCTTTCAGATATGGTGTATCAATGTTTCTTTACAATTCAAATTAGAAAACCTACAAAAGTGGATAGACCTGATCTAAAACTTGAAGTTCTAAATTGCAGTAAGGCCAAATTTGACAGTATAAGGAAAGAACTTTCAAAAGTTGATTGGTAGAGGCCATTCACAGGTAAAAGGGTGGTTAGAAAGTGGGAGACCTTCAAAAATGAAATAATGAGAGTCCAAAGACAATATGCTCCTATTAAAAAAATAAGAGCAAGGCTGGTAGGTGTAGGGAATGCAGCATGGCTAGAGAAGTTGAGGCTTTGGTCAAGAAAAAGGAGACATATAGCAGGTATAGTCAACTGGGATCGAGTGAATCCCTCGAGGAGTATAAGGCAGTAGGAAAAACCTAAAATGGAAATCAGCATGGCAAAAAGGGGACTTGAGACAGCTTTGGGCAAATAGGGTTAAGGAGAATCCAAAAAGATTCTACAAATACATTAGGTGCAAAAGACTAACTAGAGAGAAAATAGGGCCCCTTAAAGATCAACAAGACCATCTCTGTGTGGAACTGCAGGAGATGGACAAGAGTACTTACTGTGGAGAAGGATACAGAAGTCAGAGAACTTGGATAAATCCCCAAGGCCCGATCAGGCGTATCCCAGAACTTTGTGGGAAACTTGGGAAGCGATTGCATCACCCCTTTACCAAGATATTTGTATCATCAATAGCCACAGGTGAGGTTCTGGAAGATTACAGGTTGGCTAATGTGGTGCCACTATTTAAGAAAGGTGGTGAGAAAAAGCCAGAGAACTGCAGACCGGTGAGCTTGATGTCAGCGGTGGCTATGTTGTTGGAGGGGATTTGGAGGGACAGGATCTACATGTATTTTCAAAAGCAAAGACTGATTAGGGATAGTCAACATGGCTTTGTGCGGGGGAAATCATGTCTCACTGACTTGATTGAAACTTCTGAAGTAACAAAGGCAGCAAAGCAGTGGACATTGTCAACATGTACTTCGACAAAACGTTTGACTAGATTCCACATGGTCGACTAGCGAGCAACGTCAGATCACGTGGAATAGAAGGAGAGCTAGCCATTTGGATACAAAATTGGCTTGAAAGTAGGAGACAGAGGGTGGACAAAGCCCTGTTTTTCAGACTGGAAGCCTATGACCAGAGGTATGCCACAAGGATCAGTGCTGGGTCCACTGCTTTTTGTCATTTATATAAATGATTAGTAAATTTGCAGGTAACACCAAACTTGGTGGCGCAGTGGATAGTAAAGATTATCTCAGAGTACAAATGGATCATGATCAGATGGGCTGAGGAGTCGTAGATGGAGTTTCATTTCGATAAATTCGAGGTGAGGCATTTCGAATAGACAAATCAGGTCAAGACTTATACACGTAATGGGAGTGCTGCCGAACCAAGAGACCTTGGGGTGCAGGTTCATATTTCTTTGGAAGTGGAGTCACAGGCAGACAGGGTAGTGAAGGCAGCATCGGTACACTTACCTTTATTGGTCAGTGCATTAAGTATAGGAGTTGGGATGTTATGTTGCAGCTGTACAGGACATTGGTGAGGCCACTTTTAGAATACTGCATTCAGTTCTGGTCTCCCTGCTATAGAAAGGATGTTGCTAAACCTGAAAGGGTGCAGCAATGATTTAGAAGATGTAGCTGGAGTTACAGGCCGAACTGGCTGGAGGTATTTTCCCTGGAGCATCAGAAGACTGAGGGAGGTGACCTTATAGAGATGTACAAGATCAGGACGGGCACGGATAGGGCAAATAAACAAGGTCTTTTCCTAGGGTAAGGGAGTCTAAAAACACAGAGGGCATAGATTTAAGCTGAAGGGGGAAAAGATTTAAAAGGGACCTAAGGGGCAATATTTTTACAGAGGGTGGCACGTGTATGGAATGAGCTGCCAGAGGAGGTAGTGGAGGCTGGTACAATTCTAACATATACAAGTTATCTAGATGGGTATATGAATAGGAAGGGTTGAGGGGGATCTGGGCCAAATGCTGGTAAATGGAACTAGATTAACTTAGGTTTTTTGGTCAGCATGGATGAGTTGGACTGAAGGGTCTGTTTCCATGCTGTACAGCTCTACGATTATGCTGAGGAAGAGATGACTCTCTATTCATTCCCCATTCACATTTACAGTCTTATATTTTTAAAAATGCTATTACAGATACTAAGATCTGTTGAAATTCATCAGTTTGTCATTCAATAAAAATGCTGCTCCAGCAGCACTTACACATTAACTGTTCAGAAATTTTCTTTCCTACAAAAGAAAATATCACATTTTTCATTTGTGGCAGAACACCCAATGAGTGAACATTAAAATAGCATCAAAAATGAGACAGGACCAAAAGCGCATGATATATATAATTAGTTTCAATTTTAGCTTCACTTCTATTTCAACACTACAGAAGGCTGCAAGGAGGAAGTGGTGGATTCGGGCACAGTTACAACATTTAAAAGATATTTGAATAGGAAAGGTTTAGAGAGATATGGACCAACAGCAGATAGGTGGGACTAGTTTACTTTGGGATTGTGATCAGCACAGACTGGTTGGACCAAACGGTCTGGTTCTGTGCTGTATGATTCCATGACTCTGACAACTTCAACTAGAAAAATTTTGAATGTCAACATTTCCCTTTTACTCAAATTATAGCATCAACATTTGATGAAATTACCTAAAGACTACACAACTTGAAATGTAATCCAAATTCACAGGTTAAAAATAACACTACACAATAGCATAAAAATAGGCTTTAACACCACTTAATTCAGCACTGAAAGACAGTTATGCTTTCCTGAGCCAAGAACAGTTATCATTCCAATCCACTACAAATGTTAACAGCAGGTAGAGTATCCTCATCTAAAATGAGGCTCACAATATAGCAAAGTTCGCAAGGCCTTGTAGTAAGCAAGCATAAGATCCCAAAATTTTGAGGGTACTACAACCAGAACAATGGAATACATGGATCAATGAGTCATTCATGTTTGCTTTAGTAGAGAAAAATTTGACTCATTGCTGTTGCTAAAGGGGTAAATTTCGACCCAAATAAATCTATCACACAACAATTCTTTTTATAATCATATAGCAATAATAAAAATCACGACTTCGTAGTATAACAAAACATAGACACAACCTCACTTTTATAAAATGACTGATGGTCCGGACAGTGTTCAGACCATTTCAGGTCTTAACAGATTTTAGGTGAGTAAAGTTCATGAACAAGAGATAACTGGACCACTAACTTGATACACCTTTTAGCACACGTTCTACCTTGTTTAAAAAAATCATTCCTTCAAATATATTCATAACAAAGCATGCGGAAATTGGTGCAGCAGAAACATTTGGTTTAAAGAAGTTTCTTTGCACTAAGAGGTTAAACTGGAGTCTCAAAATTCACGAGCATTGCAGCACCACCTTCTGGAAAGAATTCCAATGCAACTAGTTTAGCTGGACAATTACAAATATTAATTTACAATTTTGATATACAAGCAAAAATGCAACTAAACATGAGCTATTATAGACAAGTGTAAACAGTTAGTGCTACTTTCAGAAAATGATTTTCATGTCCCAATCCATGTTAATCAAGTTACACATCCTCAAATCAGTCTAAGTCACTGATATGTATGAAAAGCACTGGTCCAAGAAACAAGCCCAGGGCACTCACCACACACCTTCCTCAAGTGCAGACAAGTTCACTCCTACAATTAATATCACACAATTAACTTTGTATTCAGTGCCACTGTCCCTTTCCTTGCTTGGGCTTGAATTTTGCTGGCAAGCCTATTACATAGCACAGAGCAGAAGATCTTCTGGAGGTCAATGTTATGCCTTCACTTTTGAATCTTTCACTAATCTCATACAATCAGATTTATGAAATAACTATATGCTGGCTTTCCTCGATTAATCCAAATTTTATCCAAGAAACTGAATTTTCTCTTTGTTGCTCAAAAACCTTCCCACTGACATTAAACTGCTGGCATAATTGTTGGGCTTTATTCTTGCCTTCTTTTGAATAAGGATTTAAACACTGGCAGTTCTCCTGTCATTTGGCACCACCCAACATATCAGAGGGAAGACTGAAAGACTATGGCCAAAACCTCTGAAACTTCCACAATCTACAATACACTCCATCCATGCCTGGTGGCCTCTCCTTTCAAGTTCAGTCAGCCTTACTATTACTCCCTCCAAATACTTTTGACCGTCCTGGATCTCAACTACATGCTGTGACCTCAGCAATTTCTTCCTTGGTAAAGACAGATGTACTAATTTAGTTTTTCCATTATGTATGATGTTCCGTGCATTGATTTCTATTTGGATCCTGATTGGGTCATCCTCCTTCTTGCCATGCTTTTATTGTTTATGCGCCTTTGGAACATTTGGATTCCCACTTCCTTCAGCAGATCTCAAATTTCTAAATTCAGCCTAGTCCCTACGTCTGTCAACATGCGGCATTCATGAGATGGCACTCTTAACTCTTAGTATTTTCTCTCGCTCCTTTGTCAAAGAATCTCCACCTTAGTTTCACCTCATGAGGTGAAACTATCTCTGAACTGCTTCCAGTACAGGCACACCCACAGTAAAATCAAAAAAGTTGCATCATATTGTAGGTGCAGTGTCACCAAATTGCAGCAGAAAGTTGGAGCAAGACTTCAACTTTTACAATGTTCCTTTTGCAAAATGGTCAACATCCAATTTAGCTTAATTACTTGCTATACCCGAATGCTAACTTCATGTTTCATAAGCAAAGACAACCAGATCACTCCCATGACACAAAATTCTTAAGGCTCTAATTAAACAGTTCCTAATTTTACTGCCAAAATAACACTACATATGCCACGTTTCTGACCAGAAATTTAACCAATCCGTCTGCAGCCTCATTGTGTTTTCCCAACAACTAGCTTCGCTATACATTCCGGCATCAAATGCAAGTTGGCTAAAATACTGTTAGTCCCTACATTCAAGGCTTCAACATAAACCCTAAACGGTAGGGATCCCAGCACTGACCGTTGGGAGCTAAATTTCTGCCTTGGATTTGCAAACTCTTTCAATGCATCAAGCAGAACAGCAAGCCATCTTATGCATATATAGCAACACCACCAGCTGCAAGTTCCACATCAAGCAAGATACCATTGTGATTTGCAACTATATTCACATTCCTATAAAGTACTGAATCAAAATCCTGGAACACCTTCCACAACAGGACAGTGGTGACAGCCCACCACCACTGCCAAGGGCAATTCACTCCTGGAATGCAGGTGTTGATAGCATGGCCAGCATTCATTCCTCATTCCCAAAAGCCCTGGAGAAGGCAGTGGTGAGTTGCTTCTTAAACTGCTGCAGTACTTGGGCTATAGAAACCCTACAATTCTATTCGGAAAGGAGTTCAAGGATGTTGACCCAGTGACAGTCAAGGGGTAAGCAACGTAACATGAAGTCAGAACGATGCATGGTTTAAGAGGTGAACCTGTAAATCATGACATTACCATTTATCTGGCAATCGTGTCGTTCCGGGTCATAAAAGTCACAGGTTTAGTAGATGGTGTCAAAGTAGCTTTGGTGAGTCACTGCAATGCATCCTTAGATGGTACACGCTCTAGCCAGCGCGTCAGCAGTGAAGGGAGTCAATGCTGAATGTGGTTAATGCAGTGCCATTCAAGGGAGCTGCTTTGTCATGGATGGTCTGATTTCTTCAATACTGTTTAGACTACTCTGATTCAGCTAAGCTTTCCCACCCAGGATAGCAGAACCATGCTGGCCTAGCCAGCAATGTCAGCATCCCATAAAATTAGAAAAGAATCTGAGACACAAGAAAATTACATAGCATTCAAATTCACATAATGTGTGCGCATCTTACCTGGCATGGCCATTCCACTCCTTTGGGCAATTTCTTCCATTCTCATATTTTCTCTCTAAACAAAAATTAAATTCACATGCACAATTAAAATTAATATAGCCAATGCTCTTTCGCCCACTTCTGAAAATGCTGTGATATGCCTGGGTTATATGCCCATGACTTGCCATTACCTTGGTGGTCTGCCAGTTATATCTATAATCAGTGAATTGCCCTCAAAACAGTTTAAACATTTAAAGAAACATGACATGGGTGATCCAACTACCTTTATCAAACACGTTGACCAGCACATATTGCATGTGCAAACTTAGTTGTGTCAACACCACAAATACTTATTGAACAATTTCAACATTCCTGCTTAGTTCTTTTGTGTCGGTATAGTGACCACAGATGTCTTACAAATTTATCAGGCTTTTGATTTCAAGAGCTCTGTAAAAGCCTTCAAGCCAAAAACAGATGTCTGCCTCACACTCCATCAGAAAGAAAACCAGCCGGATGAAATTTCTAACTCAAGCAAAACATAACCTAGGTGCAAGTGACCACCTACTAAAACTGAGGATTGCCAAGGTCATCACCTAAAGCCAAAAAAAACTAAGGAAGTCACTTAATTCCATGCTTGTGGATTAGATTAGATTAGATTAGACTCTTGATCCAGAGAACTTGTTCCTTTCTTTCCTTGTATCCTAGCCATATCTACAGAACTGACAAGCCTACTTGTGAATACACACTTTTGAATTTTAAGGGATGATAGCTTGCTTGCACCTTAGTAACTAATCTTGTTTTGCTACTGTGCAAGGATAAGTTTACGATAATATTTTGTTCTCTTGTTAATTGATGAAACCTGGAGTTTTTTTTTTAAATTCAGTGGTCAGTCAGCCAAGTTAACTAAGTTTGGTGCTTGATTTGGTTTTAATTTCCACATATTGTTACAAATGTATAACAGTGGGCTTGACACCTACACACTAGCTGCCTTTAAAGAGGTCAGCGTTGCAAGGTTTTGGAGGGCATTATTTGCTAGCCCAAACCCACTTTAATTTAGTTCCCTCCCTGCTTCCCTACTCTCCCCTGTATTTGTTACTATTACACTGTTCCAGGTAAGTAGCACTCGTTAACTGTTCTTTTAATTTGTAACATAAATGATTTGGTGGTGGTAAAAACAAACACCCATGTGTAATAGCGTCTCTGAGCAAGAGACAAAAAAAAGTGGGGTTTGATTTTCAGCGCACAATTTCCATCAGTATAGTGACATAACCTTATCACTTCTTAGGAGGCCATCTACTGCAGGCATGTTTGTGCTTATCCTTCCAGGAGTATACAAAAAGTGAGCCTCAACCTTGGCCTGTGTGTGTTTGTGCCTGACGTTATACTGTATGGACGAGCATTACTGAAGATAAAGGAAGGAACAGATACTGAATACTGCCACGCAGCCATAAAAATGCTTTTTGGCAATCAACCAGCAAAGTCAAGAATCTCAAATGAACGTTCAAATACCAAAATCAATGGTATTGGTAACATCCCATGATGGCCACAACATTTTCTGTACTTTGCATAAAAATTGATAAATCACTTGTTTAAATGTGTTATTTTGATAAGCCATGTGTTCACGTGCTGCGTTATTATTTTTTCTCTCATTAAACACGATCAACATACTCTTTTGTTAACTCACAAAGGCCTGGGTAAATTGACTTCTTTTAAAACATAAATTCATTATTTGGGAGAAGGTTATCCAAAGAAAGGAGCCCTTTGTAAGTGAATTTTGTTTCAGCCAACCAAGGGGACGGCTGAATAAAAGGAGGAGAGCTGATCTATCCCTATTCACCTCGGAGGTGAATTTGGGTTATGTGGAACCTTAACAAATTGGGGAACATTGCTTGATGACTTGATGCCAGGTACAAATCGTAATCACTTCCACAAGTGTGTTATAATGACCTCAATATTCTACTAGGCTACCCATTGCATTGTTGCTCACCGATATCATTTCAGAACACCTACATTTTCAGTGAAGTTCCCTCGGAATCCCTCCTGTTGCCTTCTCATCATTTCTTCTTTTTCACGCTGACGCAAAAGCATTTCCTCCTCGCGTCTTCTGCGCTCCTCTTCTTGCCTAAAAGATTAAAAACAACTAAGATTTTTGAAGCTTCTGTTGCAATTCTTTTCCAAATTAATAATTAAATAGTTCACCTATATACAGCATTAGATAAAGCCAACACTGGAATAAAACTGCACTTAAATTTCCACCACAACATTCCCAGTCCATGGAATCTTCATTTTGCCTAATAGTATCTCAAGCAGTTTTATACTTGGGGACTTTAGTGCATGGTACATATTTTATCCAACTAAAAATTGCAGAAAACCACAAAAAATGAAAGCCATCAAACTCGCGCTTCAGTTAACCCTTAATAGTGAGATCCTGGGTTTTCCACGTTTTTCCCATATCTTTTATGGGGGGTGGGGGGGATCATCCAATTCTCTTACTAAAAGACTCATCATATCGTCTGCTTCAGTTACCATCAAACCTTTTCGAACAGCAACAGTTTAAGCAGCACACCGCCACCTTCAAGGGTGATTAAACATAGTGACAAATGGTAGCCTATGGCAACAAACTCCAGTTAACAAATTTAAAAAAGCCCAATTTCAAACAAATGGATTAGTGATCACAGAGTTCCCTACCGAATTTCTATCAAATAATGCTCAATATTCAAGTGCTGGATGGCAAAGAGCATTTTAATGGTTCAAAACTGTACTTATTCAACAACAGAACAAGAAGTCAGTGCCACTGACCTCATTATGTTTACACAACTTTACTGCCATCACTCAGCACTCAAATCACCCTCCACAGTGCTTACTTATTGCCAGGAACCTTGTCAAATATATTAAATCCATCAACACAAGCTAATTTTTCCAGTTAGCCCCTCCACAAGTGCACCAGTTTTAAAAGACAGAAGAAATTTAGTCAAGATATGTTTGACTTGAGTTTACACATTTTTAGAAACATACAGAAAGTGACAGGACAGAAGATCATTCCTCCATCATACCCTTGAGCTAGTCATTCTTACCCTCCACCTGTGGGTGCAGGCACAAAGTATTTTCTAAAAATACATTCATGGGACGTGGACATCGCCGGCTGGCGATCATTTTATTGGCCATCCCTAGTTGCCCTTGAGAAGGTGGTGGTGAGCTGCCTTCTTGAACCGCTGCAGTCCACCTGCTGCGGGTTGACCGACAATGCCATTAGGGAGTGAATTCCAGGATTTTTGACCCAACGACAGTGAAGGAACAGCGATATATTTCCAAGTCAGGATGGTGAATGGTTTGGAGGAGAACTTGCAGTTGCTGGTGCTCCCTATGTACCTGCTGCCCTTGTCCATCTCAAAGGAAGTGGTCGTGGGCTTGGACTTAGAAGGTGCTGTTGCAGGATCTTTGGTGAATTTCTGCAGTGCATCTTCTGATAGTACACACTGCTGGTACTGAATATCAGTGGTGGAGGGAATGAAAGCTTGTAGATGTGGTGCCCATCAAGCAGACTTTGTTCTAGATGGTATCAAGCTGAAGTATTGGACCTGCACCCATCCAAGCAAATGTGGAGTTTCCATGATGTAGATGATGGACAGGCTTTGCAGAATCAGGAGGTAAGTTACTCAATCGTGTTCTTAGCCCTCAACCTGTTCTTGGAGGAGCACTTTTAATGTAGCTTGTCCAGGTAAGCTTCTGATCAATGGTAGCCACAAGAATGTTGATATTGGTGTGTTCTCTGATGTAAAAACATTTAATGTCAAGGGGCTGTGATTAGATAGTCTCTTACCTGGCACCGTGCAGCGTGAACATTACTTGCCACTTCTCAGCCCAAGCCTGGATATTTTCCGATCTGGTTGCATTTGAACATGGACTGCTTCAGTATCCGAGGAGTCGCAAATGGTGCTGAACATTGCAAAATCATTGGTGAACATCCCCACTTCTGGCCTTATGACGGCGGGAAGGCCATTGATGAAGTACCTGATGATGGTTAGGCTAAGACACTACCCCGAGGAACTCCTGCAGAAATGTCTGATCTCCAACCATCTTCCCTTGAGCCAGATGAGTTTCCAACCAACCCAATGATTCCAGTTTTGCTAGCAAGGACATCACAGGAACTGCAGTAACTTTGAGAAACACTAAAAAAATTATATTCTTTTGACCAGTGCCCCTAAAATGGAAACTTGCACATGATCAACTCCTTGCAAAGTCTGTACAGGTTGCAAGGGGTCTGCAGACTCTAATTAAGAATATTTCCTCTAAATCAGTTACACCAGAAACTTCAGTTAACAGTGAAAATTTCCTTTTGACTATTGTTGTGTTTCATTTCCCAATAGAACCATCTTTATTCCAATCCTTTTGCATAGCTTTCAAATAACAACATAATTACGTTTAAATTTAAATTTAAATTCTACTTGATCAATGGTTTTAAGTAACAAACCAGCAACATTTTCAGGAATATACACAAAATTCTTCACGTCCTAACCAAAGTCTTGTACAAACTCACCATTTGCCTGTTTAAGGCAACTCCCTTGGGGAAAAACTGCCATCTTGCATCTCCAGCTTTTAAAGTCTCTATGTCTGCTAGGTCTCTATTCCTCCATGGAGGAATAACGCCTAGAAAATTATTTTTTCTCACCCGTCTCAAGAACATTAAAATTGCTCAGTGAGCCTTTCCGCTCCTTCCACCCTAGTTCATGAACGAAACGTGTTAGGAAGTTGCACATCAAAGTACTATTTAAGAATGGCAGAAGGAAACTAGGTAAATGCAGGCATTTCAGTCTAACATTTAATAGCAAAAAAAATTACAGTATCGACCAGTAAACATAGTCAGTATGGTTAACTATCCACCCTGTCCTCATTGTTCCACCTTGCCTATCTCAACTTAGCTGCTGTTCATCTGTGGCTTTTGTTATCTCTCAGTTTGATTACAATCAGCTCCTGCTGATTTTGCACACTGTCCAGAAAACCTGACACTACCAAAACTCTGCTGTTGATGTGTTAACTTGCAACAAGATCCATTTAACACCAACACCACTCCCAACTACACAAAAACCCAAATACTGGTTTTCAAAATTGTCCCTGAACTTGTCCTGCTCCTCCATCTATTTGTCATCTTTTCCAACCCTAAAACACTCCAAGAAATGTGAACTGGCCTCTTCTGCATTCCCAATTCAATCGATGCCCATATGTTCAGCTGTCTGGGTCCCAAACTCTGGAATTCTCTTCCAACAGTTCTCCACTTTGCTGCTTGTCTTTGTACCATCAGAAATGCAAGGTCAACAGGTAGAAGTATACAATTGCAAAACAATGACAAATTAAGTAAACCTGCCAGTTTTGCTAAATGCAGGAAAATACGATTGCATACAAATTGGATGACATAAAAAAGGATAAAGGGAACTTTCACAATAATGGAAAGCTACAAACAATGGCAATCCAACAGAGACCTACTGATCTAAGTCCACAGATCATTAAAATGGTTAAAAACAAACACACCATTTTAAAAAAAAAAGTAGGCTATCAAAAAGGAGGCCAGAACATAAGTGGCCTAAAATCACTCCACATTCATATGAAGCGCAGGTCTCAAGTATTATGAGCAACTGTGTGCCAGAGCTCAGGAGGACCATACAGGCCTTAGAGGAAATGCAGGATTTTTCAACCAGAATATATCCTCTACAAGTTAAGAAAAAAAACAGTATTGTAATACAAGGAAATTTAATAAAATTAGAAGTAATTGAAACAAGATTCAATTCTTCAAATGTACTGAAATGGAAGACTGTGAACATACGCAATGGCCCTAATATAGTACCCGTTATCTGCCAGAATATGTAATGTGCAGAAATTTTGGTTTGGGCACTTATTTAAGAGAATAGTGCAAGATAGTACATGTTCTTTACCTCAATTCTATTTGTTTACGCTTTTGCAGTTCTTGATTGTGCAATTCTTCCATGCGCCTCAATTCCTCTTGACGTCTCATTAAATCTGGTGACAAAAACAAATCAATTCAATTCCATGTTTTAAAGAGAAAATTTAGCTGCAAAAATTTAGTTTTAACACAAGAGCCACATATTGCAAATATTGAAAGGAAGACATTGTTACATCTTCAATGAGTGAAATCTGCAGCTTGACTTAGGTACACTTTCAAGAATTTCCAAAACGGATGTATAAGTAATTCAATTCGGGTCGATTTCTCTGGCGTGGCACAGGCTGAAGGAAGATTTGAAAAAAGCCTATAAAATTGAGATGCATAGATAGTGTTGACGGTCAGAATCTTTTTCTCCCAAGTTGAAACATCTAATATTAGGGGGGCATGCATTATATGTGGAAAGTTCAAAGGAGTGTGAGGGGGAAGGGTTTTTTCCCCCAAACACAGAGTGGGAGCCAAGGATGTTGATGAAGGCACAAACAACAGGAGCATTTAGGGACTTTTGGATAAGCACATGAATACGCAAGAAATGGAGGGATAAGGACCAAGGGCAGGCAGAAGAGATTAGTTTCGTTTGACGTCATGTTCAGCGCATCATCATGGGCTGAAAGGCCCGTTCTTGTCCTGTACAGTTCTACATTTTGATTCAAATCCCTCTAACTGTACCCAGAACATACACTGAACAGTGCAAAACTCCTTTGGATTTGCAGTACTGGTGTGCAAATATCAGGCATAGCAAACATCTGTGTTCTAAAGAGTCATTGTCTCCCAAGTTTAACCGCTTTTTCTCCACAGATTGCTGCTAGACTCCAGCAATTTCTGTTTTTGTGTGTTTCAGATCTACAACATCCACGATTCTTTTAATTACTGCAGAACATTTTGGCTTGTTATCTATCCCCCATCAAAAGTTTCAGCCCACAGAAATAGAAGCAAAATGGTACAATTTCCAAAGAAGTACAACAACAGAGAACTATGGACTTATCTGTATAAAACTTAACCATTACAACAAGAAAAACAAACCAGCATATAGGATCATTGACTGTATTAAAAAGGAGTGACGTGCAAAAGCAACAAATCTTTCACCATTTTGTTGTGTTTTATTTACCAGCGGTCAATTCTGAAGTGACACGTGAGGAATGATGTCAAAGCCTTAGAGTGTAGAAAAGTAAATGCCTTCAGACAAGCAGCAGAAATAAAAACTATATTCTTCTCAACTCACCTTGTCTCATTAGCATGACTTGGTGCTCATGACGTGCAGCTTCCAGTTCTACTTCCAGTTTCTCTCGCGCTTCCTTCACATTTCTATCAACTTGCTCCTGCTGCTGCTTCTCCATCTCAAGCAGAGCCTTCCACCTCATGGCATATTCATATTCAAATGACCCATGCTGTGCAAATCTGGGCGGCTGCTCCCGTTCCCTTAAAAATCATACAACAGTTAATGAGTAGTAGGATTGACGGCAAGAGGCTAATGCATCCTCCATTGCATTCCCTATGTAAGGTAGTTCAAATAAATGTCAATATATTATTCAAGTAAAAAGCCCTGCCAATTTGGCAATAAAAGGTCCATGGCGATCAAATTAATGTGGCAAGCTTAGAGGTAGCACCCAAAGTGGTTTGGTCTACTCAGGTTGCCAACTGTTGAGCAATTCAGCAATTTCATTCCAATGTTCAAGTTAACATACAATATAGAAAACCAATTATGACCATAAACAAAAGACTGAAGATAAACATCTTTTACCCTTACAGATTATTCTCCCCTGTGTCACCAACTCAAAAACTTAAACATCGCACATGAGCTCTTTACCTTCCTGTTCTTAACTAAGAACTAACTCTATGGAAGAGTTTAATCAAAACAAGATAGACCAGATGTTTTAATCAATCATACTTATTCCTCTAAGAAAAGAATTTTTCAGATAATTTTGGCAACGTTAAAGCTTAACGAAGACCTCTTTCTGCACTACTGCTCCGTACCAGGCCGTAGTCAATGTAACCCAACTGGGCTTTTTCTTTGGAATCAAATGTCAAACAGAAGTTGCAATTACAAAGGCCATAAAGTGTTTAGATTCAGAGTCATCAAGAGAAACTGTCACAACAGCTGTTGGCTGTTAAGAATTGAACTGCCAGATACAAACTTGTTCAACTATCCAAATAGCCAATACAATTAACTCATTTTCAGTGGCAAGTAGTAATCGACCATCGTTTTGATGGCAAGCAACATGCAAGCACTATTCAAGGCATAAAAGATTCTTAACTGTCAGGGTGTTTCCCATCCTACGAGAATGCAGGATAAGATGGCAGTGTCTCAGAATAAAGGGGCACCAATTTAAGACTGAGACTATGACTTAATTTAGAACGCCCCCATAAAGAAATGGCATTCCAAGTGTACCTTCATCAAATGGATTATAGCGGTTTAAAGCAGCAACCCAGCACGCCACCTTCTCAAGGGCAACTAAAGATGGGCAATAAATGCTGGCACAGGCAGTGGTGCCCACATCCCATTAGTGAATTTCAAAAATAGCAATACCCATTCTAGAAAATGAACTTATGGTAACAAGTTTGTTTAGCAGATTAAATCACTCAACCAGCCAAACACTACATAGGTTTTCCAACTTATTTACCTTCTTTTATTTTACAAAGTGCTCCACTAATGTACGTTCACTCTTATTTGGCTTTAGAATAATCTAACTCCAGAGAAATTTTAAAAATAGGAAGAGAATAGGAACGCGAACTCTTAAAAAGAAACCAGTCAACGCGTACTTATGATAATGCTGATTTTTCTGGACCAGTTTTTCTTGAAGTCCATCTTCATCATCATACTGATCAAAAGGTTCAACAGTCACAGGTCTTGGAAAACTAAAAAAAAAAGTGGAAAATATTCAATGACAGAACAGTTGGAACAGGAAGTTTTGAGCAAACAGAACATTTTACAATGTAGTACATCACACCGATTTTTCAAAGTCATAACATTTCACTTCACTATGCATTAACTATAAATGTGTAGTTTCTTGCCTATGGAAAGACACGGTCTTATTTTATTAAGGCCCTATCGCCCGGGAACATTTAGTGTTTTAGCATTAGAAATTAAATCAAAATTTACCAACAACAGCAGCTCTTTACCCATCCCAATGACTAAAACCAATTTTATACAGTAACATTAGTAGCTGAGGAAGCAATATCACAAGAATGGTTACAGTACTTGGGGTAGGGCTGGAGGTTGGGATGGATTCTTTTCCTAATTTACAGCTTTGAGAGGGTATGACTGGTCAAAGTATTGCCAGCCATGGAAAAGCAATCTTCAACATAATTGAAGAAAACGGGGAAGCTCAAGTTCACAGAAACAATGCACTTCAAAGGGTGTTCATCAGATGTTTAAGAATTTTTGAATTATATGTCTCAAAAAAATCTGAGCAGAATCGCTCAGACTCAAAAACAATACAGCAACATCTGCTCGGAATTCTCTCACTTCCATAGGTGCCCCAGAAAACTTTTCTGAAGTCCTTGTTCTAAACCCTCAACTTTATACATGAAAATGGTGGCTTTACAGATACATGATGGACCTGCTTGAAACTTTTAGGGAAAGAAAATCTTGAATCTTAAAATGTCAACAGTCTAATTCCATAAACAAGTAAAACCATTTGTGAACCAAATTTTGATGAAAAGCAGTCAAAGCTCAGACACAGTAACCAAGGGTAACACTGTGTTATCAGCAGCTCAACCTCAAACATTCCAGTGCATCTACCTGTTATTTTCCATGTACAGGTTGCTTAAAAAAAGACAATTCACATTCAAAAACTTAAATTGGCAGATTTTCATCATACTCAGGTCAGAAATGTAACCTCATATCACCCAGCGGAATTTACACTATAGCAGCTGGGATTTCAATATACTTGCCTAAGTTTCAAAATGAAATCATTTAAAAAAGTTAAAATAGATAAAACTCAAGTTTAAAATAAACATTCCTGCCCGCAACTTCACCACCACAATGAACCTTTATTCTCATTACTCACGCTGTCAATAAGAATGCACCATCTGTACATCTGTCCAGAGCTTTGCGAGCTGCAGGTTTTGCTGCAAACTCTACAATGCCTTTGCCAGTTGGTTTTCCACGGTCATCTACAATCACCACTGCTCTCTCCACAGGACCAAAGATAGAGAACGCTTCGTCCAACAGCTCATTTGATACAAACTGAGGAAGATTCTTGACTGTGAGAGCAGCACCGTGTGTTGCAAATCGAATTCTTATCTGTCTTCCTCTTAGGGTAGTATCATCAAGTTCTGCCTTTGCAATCTCAGCCAAGGTTCTAGTTTCCTATAATCAAAATAAATACATTAATATTCATATATACAACAATTAAATTTTACTCAACAAAATAAAACCTCACAACTAAGCCTTGCAACCCCTCTAATCTCACTAGAGATATCCTTCAATTCTCGCTGCAGATTTTTGTTTGTTTTAAAATGGAAAGCAATGAATCATTTCTCCCTTTCACCCAACAAAAGTACTTTTGAAATTACTTTACATCCTAACCACATCTTCTCTCCTCACCCACCCCGAAGTGAAACAGCAGTATCCTGATTAAACCTCCAAGAGCAGAATTACAAAAAAGTTTTGGGAGAGAAGATCATATGAGGTCAAGAGCCGATGGTGCCTGGCTCTACCTACCTACAGGTTAACTTAACTCCGTTCACCAGAGCACACTGACCTCCAGACAAACCTGTGATCGTATCTGCCTTGAAAGATTCTATACCACAACTAGGAATAAGGACTTTCTATTAACTGCTCTTGAATGCGAGAAAATCATGATTCAGTTATATGCAGCAATGGTCAACAGCCCACCTGTTTAAGTACAGTTTTAGAACTGCTCTTAAAGTCTCCACTGATCTTTTGGGGATATAGCACCAAATTGGCCAAAATTATCGCAGGTCTTAAAAAAAACGTTAAGTGACAACAAGGTGCAGGGCTGGATGAACACAGCAGGCCAAGCAGCATCATAGGAGCAGAGAGGAGTGACAACAGTTCGCCAGAACGTGCTTGCATTCCCTTGAATATACAAGTCCAAGGAGTGATCTAAGAGAAATGCTTAAAATTGTTACAAGTACAGTCTCATTTCCCCTGGTATGGCAATACAAAGACAGCATGATTTTTGATTTAAGAAAAGCCCAGTCATTCAGAAGCTAAATTAACTGTATGCGATCCTACAAAGGCGAAACTAAACCTCAAACTCTGAGCAGTCAGTCAACTAAAGCTTCATGATTTAAAAAGTTTATTTGGGTGGAGTTACAGGTTAGGCATGACTAATTACATGTTACACCAAACCAAAGGACTGAAGAGCATTCACAATTTTAAATCGTCATGGAAGAATCAAACAAAGCACAGCCTCTAAACCTTCACAGCTACAGCCATTTTGCTATTTGCTTAGGCATCCACACTCCCACAAACAACAGGCCAAGGCTTCAAAAACAGTATTTCAAGATCATGCACCAGACACAGCACTCATCTTTATTGTACTTGGCTGCTCTAGGAGCAGCCCCATAAGCTGTCCGTAGCGAAAACATGAAAAAACATGTTGCCTTAGATTTAAAAAGTGTGGGTTGACTGTTAGACCCATGTACAAACTATATGTTTGACCCTAAAAAAAAGCAAATAACTCAATATCTGAGAAAGAGGCTCATACCATTGCTGATTTTCTAGTGAAATGGCTTGGAAGATAATTGGTAGCAAACCTAAGTGTTGGTCAAAAAGCATGATCTTTTGCATTTCAATCCATTTTGTACTGTGCAGTTGCATATATAAAATTAACTTTACTTAGCTTGCCACAGCGTTGAGCCAAAATGAGAATGCTAAAATACACTTCAGATCAAAACCAAAAGAACTGTGGGATGCTGTAAATCAGAAACAAAAACAGAAATTGCTGGAAAAGTTCAGATCTGACAGCATCTGTGGACAGAAATCAGAGCTAATGTTTCAAGTCGGGTGACCTTTCCTCAGAACCATTCTGAGAAAAGGTCACTTGACCCGAAACGTTAACTCCAATTTCTCTCCACAGCTGCTGAGCTTTTCCAGCAATTTCTGTTTCTACACTACTCTATATCAGGAGATCTTTGAGCACGTGTTCAACTTCTTTCGATGTTGAATTTCCCGATGCATCACTTTACACTGAAGATCATGGTCTCGAGTATTGAGCTTTCTGGCTGTAGTCTAAGGTACTGCAAGAAGGCAAGAGGTTGGTAATTTTCTGCAACATTATAAATACGAGGGTACCAGCAAGTCGCAGAACAATCAATTCTTATACGCCTGCAAATTCATCCAAAATGATACACTTATTAGAATACACATCTTTGAATGAGTGGACGCTCATCATCAAGTCATGAAATAGTGGTTCATGTGAATTTTAAAAATGGCAAGACTCTTCTTTTCAATAAATATTCACAGATTAAAAAAGCTGTTTGTGCTGCAACACCAGGGGGTGTACTTCCTGCAGATGTGATAGCATTTCAAGTGAGAAATACTGTTAAGCACAACTTTGCTTCAGCATTCCATCATGCATTTTCTTTACAAAGCAAGCATATGACCTGGGTACTTTAATTAAAATTTGTTTGAGAGATAAAACCTGCATTTCAACTAGTTACTTATGAACAGACCATGAGATGACTGGGAGTGGAAGGTATTATTCTTTTTCTTCAGCAAACAATTAGTGCTCTTATCTGTGGAGTACCATTAGTTGAAAAATAAGAAGTTAAAAGGTGAACCCCAAAGGTATCAAATCACCCAACTTGAATGTGAACCAATGGTCTCAGGTTAAAGCACCCCATCGTCCACCAACTGAGCTAGGGCTATTATAGAAACTTTCTGCATAAAACCTTTAAATTTAACAGCCTCTTAAAACATATTTCCAGAAATAAATACATCACATAATAGTTGAAGTTGTAGTCAAATTGGTCATTTTGCAGTTTTAAACGGGTTAGAGAGCAAAATGTCACCTATTTGCCATCTTACTGAGGATCTGTGCAAATGCACAACTGCTTCTGATGTTTTTCCACTTGGCAGCAAGTTAGTGAATCAAAAATTACACAGATCAAAAAGTACATAAATCAGGACATATGGCCCCAGTTAAATCAGAGCCAATATTCATACTCCATATGGGTTTCCTTCCATCCCATCTCAACTTAACTCATCATATGACTCCCTTTAGAGTCACAGTTAGAGTCATAAGAACTTTACATCACAGGAGGCAGCCCTCTGGCCCATCCTGTCCAGACCTCTCTAGTCTAGTCCCATTTTCCAGCATTCAGCCTGTAGCCTTCTATGCTTATGGAGCTTCAAATGATCATCGGAATACTTCGTAAACATTGCAATGCTTCCCACCTCTCCAACTTTTTCACCCTCTAGGTGAAAAAACTTATTCCTTAAATTTATTCAACCTCCTGGCCTTTACCTTAAAATCAAAATCCCTAGTTACTGATCCCTCAAAAGGGGAAAAATTTCTTACTAACCACCTCAACCATGCCCCTCATAACACCGTACACCTCAATCAGCTCCCACCTCAGCCTTCACTACTCTACAAAAAGCAATCCGAGCTTCAAGCCGTAAGACTCCAAATTAGGCAACATCCTGATGTACCTCCTCTGCATCTTCTGGTGTATAATCACACCTTCTTAATATGCCTCCAACCAGAAACTTCAGTTAACAGTGAAAATTTCCTTTTGACTATTTTTGCATTTCATTTCCCAATAGAACCATCTTTATTCCAATCCTTTTGCATAGCTTTCAAATAACAACATAATTACGTTTAAATTTAAATTCTACTTTGTCAATGGTTTTAAGTAACAAACCAGCAACATTTTCAGAATATACACAAAATTCTTCACGTCCTAACCAAAGTCTTGTACAAACTCACCATTTGCCTGTTTAAGGCAACTCCCTTGGGGGAAAAAACTGCCAGCTTGCATCTCCAGCTTTTAAAGTCTCTATGTCTGCTAGGTCTCTATTCCTCCATGGAGAAATAACGCCTAGAAAATTATTTTTTCTCACCCATCTCAAGAACATTAAAATTGCTCAGTGAGCCTATCTGCTCCTTCCACCCTAGTTCATGAATGAAACGTGTTAGAAAGTTGCACATCAAAGCACTATTTAAGAATGGCAGAAGGAAACTAGGTAACTGCAGGCAATTCAACCTAACATTTAATGTCAAAAAATTGCAGTATCTACCAGTAAGCATGGTCAGTAAAGACAACTAACTAGTTTTACTGCCTTTTCACACATTCTTGATTCTGAGGCACAAGAACTCAGCCCAACTGATTTATTCCATGATGGAGAATCTACAAGTCTCTAAGTTCGATATTTTTCAACAATTCACAAACTTTGAATGACGGGATCAACCCTCACCTCAGTTCTAAATTAATCATCCCCCTATTCAGAGACTAATTTCCCAGATTCCCAAGCTAGGGGAAAATAATCTCAGTGACTACAGAAGTCCCTTCAAAATTTTAGAAGCTTCAATGAAATGACCTCTCATTTTTCTCAACTCCAGAAATGCATACCAAATTTACTCAGCCTATCATAAGGCCAACACTACCATCCCAGGATAAGATCATGATTGATCTGATTGCAGCCTCATCTCCATTCTTCTATATCCATAGAAATTAACATTGGCACTTGACTGACACAATACTGCCCTCACTTACTTGTGCAAACCACTGTCTTTGTCTTACACCATTGTTGTTGACTGTTAGCTCTTTGTCATATTTCCAGCAGTGGACAATATAACCACTCATTATCACATTATTTATGTCAACTGGGAGAGTAGCAAAGATGCACCAGGACGATCAGCATGCTAGGGATTTCATTCAAAGCTACAGAGTCGTCAAGCGGGTCAACAACATTCAGTCTTCTTCACTATTTGTCAGTCATCTGTGGAAAGCGCTAAAAGGTGAGCCAACATTGGAAAAAATACGTTCCAGGCAACAACCACCCTCTAAAAAAAGAAAGCCTTTCCCCACTCACACTAAAGCTATGTCCCAAAGTATGTGACATTTCCAGCATCAGAAAAAGACTATAATTATCCACCCCATCCATGCCTCTCAATTTCACATACTTGCATCAGGTCAGGCTTCATCCTTCAATGCTCCAGAGAAAACAATCCAAGTTGTCCATTCTTTCCTCATAGCCACTACACTCCAATCAGGCAACATCTGGGTCAACCTCTTTTGCACCTTCTCCGAAGTCTCCACATCCTTCCTATAGTCTGGCGACCAGAACTGCACACGACATTCAATATGTGGCCCAACTAAAATTTTATGCAGCTGCAA